TCTGATGAGACAAAAATAGAGCTTTTTAGTCTAAACTCCACTTGCCATGTTTGTAGGAAGAAGAAGGATGAGTACAACCCCAAGAACACCATCTCAACCATGAAACATGGAGGTGGAAACATCATTCTTTGGGGATGCTTTTCTGCAAAGGGGACAGGACGACTGCACCATATTGAGTGGAGGATGGATGGGGCCATGTATCGCGAGATCTTGGCCAACAACCTCCTTCCCTCAGTAAGAGCATTGAAGATGGGTCGTGGCTGGGTCTTCCAGCATGACAACGACCCGAAACACACAGCCAGAGCAACTAAGGAGTGGCTCCGTAAGAAGCATCTCAAGGTCCTGGAGTGGCCTATCCAGTCTCCAGACCTGAACCCAATAGAACATCTTTGGAGGGAGCTGAAAGTCCGTATTGCCCAGCGACAGCCCTGAAACCTGAAGGATCTGGAGAAGGTCTGTATGGAGGAGTGGGCCAAGATCCCTGCTGCAGTGTGTGCAAACCTGGTCAAGACCTACAGGAAATGTATGATCTCTGTAATTGCAAACAAAGGTTTTTATACCAAATATTAAGTTCTGCTTTTCTGATGTATCAAATACTTATGTCATGCAATAAAATGCAAATTCATTACTTAAAAATCATACAATGTGATTTTCTGGATTTTTGTTTTAGATTCCGTCTCTCACAGTTGAAGTGTACCTATGATAAATACAGACAAATTACAGACCTCTACATGCTTTGTAAGTAGGAAAACCTGCAAAATCGGCAGTGTATCAAATACTTGTTCTCCCCACTGTATATGCCCTCCAAAGAAAGGTTGGTGGACCAAGATTCAAAGGTTAGATTAGGAAGGAAGAGGTGGCGTTTGCTTGATTGCGCTTAGGACATTGTACATTGAACTTGTCGTCTCTCGTGTCCGAAGTGGGATGCTGGTGGTTATTGCTGTCAAACAAAGAGTCCGCTCATACTGAACCTTTGATCATAAGTTTTATTCATATCACAAGCTTTCAGCATGAGTTACAGGAGTCAAGATCCCCCGGAGAGCAGTGTCCTCGAATTGTAATGGCTGCTCTGCTTTCCTGTGCCTCCAGCATATACTTATAAACAATGTAAAAATATGGGTTGCTCCCTCTGCGGTCCAATCACCTGTCTCCCCTGGGGCGTCACCCTACAACTGGCTACTTTTGACCTAACATAAACAACATTCCATTTCTTCATGAAAAACATTTAACAAAGGCATAATCCTAATACACTACAAACTCATCATTACATCTGGTTGGCAAGCAAGTTAATGGTTTGTGTCTGGAGTGTATGGTCGATGAAACGGTGGAGCCTGTGTTGTTATATTGTTGTAAGTATGTTGAAGAGAGGGAAAGATTGAAGTGTAGGGTCGTTGAGGTTGGACGGGGTTGGGGGGTTTGGAGGGGATTTTGGGGATGTGGGAGGGTCTATTAGAAGTTAGTAGGGCTCTTTTTTATTTTCTCAGATGTACTGAGTTAGGTAGGAGGATTTAGAGCTGTTGTAAACCGTGATTGACCACACACACCAGCACAGTAGGTTGCGGCATGCACCTTTAACGTTGGTTTGCGGACCGCCATTATAACATAGAAGAAGAAGAAGAAGACTCCACTCTGTGAGGCACATCGATCTGCAGGTTGAACATGGTGAGATTGTAGACGCCTAAATCGATAGTGCAGTTTGTTTAGGCGATTTTACAGCTAACTACATGCTGACACATAATGATGCCGGAGGGGATGGCTGCCGTTGTACGGGCTCCTAACCAATTGTGCTATTGTGTGTGTTTTTTTGTGTTATTTGTAACTTGTTTTGTACATAATGTTTCTGCCACCGTCTCTTATGACCGGTAAGAGCTTCTAGATATCAGGACAGCGATTACTCACCTCGTACTGGACAAATATTTTTTCTTTAATGAGTCCAACGCAAAGGATTTACTTCAGACACCCGACAAGGCCCAAATCCCTGTCCATTCAAATGAAGAAGATGCAGAGATATCGAGGACGTAGGTCGGGGTGCCTTGTAAGGATCCGACGGCGAGTTGGTAATCTGACTCTACCAGTCCTATTAGCCAACGTACAATCATTGGATAATAAAATGGACGAGCTACGATCAAGACTATCCTACCAACGGGACATAAAAAACTGTAATATCTTGTGTTTCACCGAGTCGTGGCTGAACGACGACATGGATAACATACAGCTGGCGGGGTTTTCAGTGCATCGGCAAGATAGAACAGCTGCCTCGGGTAAGGCAATGGGTGGCAGTCTGTGTATACAGTGGGGGGAAAAAGTATTTAGTCAGCCACCAATTGTGCAAGTTCTCCCACTTAAAAAGATGAGAGAGGCCTGTAATTTTCATCATAGGTACACGTCAACTATGACAGACAAAATGAGAATTTTTTTCTCCAGAAAATCACATTGAAGGATTTTTAATGAATTTATTTGCAAATGATGGTGGAAAATAAGTATTTGGTCACCTACAAACAAGCAAGATTTCTGGCTCTCACAGACCTGTAACTTCTTCTTTAAGAGGCTCCTCTGTCCTCCACTTATTACCTGTATTAATGGCACCTGTTTGAACTTGTTATCAGTATAAAAGACACCTGTCCACAACCTCAAATAGTCACACTCCAAACTCCACTATGGCCAAGACCAAAGAGCTGTCAAAGGACACCAGAAACAAAATTGTAGACCTGCACCAGGCTGGGAAGACTGAATCTGCAATAGGTAAGCAGCTTGGTTTGAAGAAATCAACTGTGGGAGCAATTATTAGGAAATGGAAGACATACAAGACCACTGATAATCTCTCTCGATCTGGGGCTCCACGGAAGATCTCACCCCGTGGGGTCAAAATGATCACAAGAACGGTGAGCAAAAATCCCAGAACCACACGGGGGGACCTAGTGAATGACCTGCAGAGAGCTGGGACCAAAGTAACAAAGCTTACCATCAGTAACACACTACGCCGCCAGGGACTCAAATCCTGCAGTGCCAGACGTGTCCCCCTGCTTAAGCCAGTACATGTCCAGGCCCGTCTGAAGTTTGCTAGAGTGCATTTGGATGATCCAGAAGAGGATTGGGAGAATGTCATATGGTCAGATGAAACCAAAATAGAACTTTTTGGTAAAAACTCAACTCGTCGTGTTTGGAGGACAAAGAATGCTGAGTTGCATCCAAAGAACACCATACCTACTGTGAAGCATGGGGGTGGAAACATCATGCTTTGGGGCTGTTTTTCAGGGGGACCAGGACGACTGATCCGTGTAAAGGAAAGAATGAATGGGGCCATGTATCGTGAGATTGAGTGAAAACCTCCTTCCATCAGCAAGGGCATTGAAGATGAAACGTGGCTGGGTCTTTCAGCATGACAATGATCCCAAACACATCGCCCGGGCAACGAAGGAGTGGCTTCGTAAGAAGCATTTCAAGGTCCTGGAGTGGCCTAGCCAGTCTCCAGATCTCAACCCCATAGAAAATCTTTGGAGGGAGTTGAAAGTCTGTGTTGCCCAGCGACAGCCCCAAAACATCACTGCTCTAGAGGAGATCTGCATGGAGGAATGGGCCAAAATACCAGCAACAGTGTGTGAAAACCTTGTGAAGACTTACAGAAAACGTTTGACCTGTGTCATTGCCAACAAAGGGTATATAACAAAGTATTGAGAAACTTTTGTTATTGACCAAATACTTATTTTCCACCATAATTTGCAAATAAATTCATTAAAAATCCTACAATGTGATTTTCTGGATTTTCTTTTTCTCATTTTGTCTGTCATAGTTGACGTGTACCTATGATGAAAATTACAGGCCTCTTTCATCTTTTTAAGTGGGAGAACTTGCACAATTGGTGGCTGACTAAATACTTTTTTCCCCCACTGTATAACCCGCATGTTAAGGATGAGGAGGTGAGGGCTTTTATGGGGAGGTATATGGACAATGTGTCCTCGGCAAGGCTCCTCAAAGACTCGCTAGGGTTCTGGAACGGGAGGAGAAGCTTCCAGGCTCTGTTGAGGGAAGACCCAAAGGGCCTGGGAGGTTACCTTCATCCTCCAGCTCTGTTCTCCCTGGGGGCTGACAGGGGGACATTGTTTTATGCCCGTCAGCCCCCTTTCTGCAGACGATGCATGGCCTATGGCCATAATTTCATCTCATGTGGGGCGAAGAAATGCAGGGTGTGTGGGTCTGAGGCACACGAGGCGAAGGACTGTGATGAGTCGAAGAAGTGCCATGGGTGTGGATCGTCAGCACACCTGTGGAGGGAGTGTACGGCTCGTCACAAGTCGTATGCAGCTGCAGCTGGTGGGGGAGCAGGGGCAGGAGCGGGGGATGGAGGAGGAAGAGGAGGAGGAGTTCCAGACCCAAGCGCAGGGCCAGAGGCAATACCATCGACGACGGAGGAGGAGCCGAGAACAGCAGCGGGAGGAGAGGGGGACGGGCAGGGGACTGCCGTAGCAGTTCTGGAAGGAGAGGTGGTGCCGGAGACGGAGGGGAGTGTGGGAGAGGTGGTGCCGGAGACGGAGGCGGCGGAGGGAGAGGAGGTCGGGGAGGAGCCAGCCACAGCCCTGGAAGGAGAGGAGAAGGGGGGAGAGGGGGGGCCGGAGTGGGGGGAAAGCGAGATGTCGAGTGCCCAGGGGGATGAGGTGAGGGAGATGATGGAGGAGCTGGTGATCAAGGGGGGCTGGGTCTCCCCACTGCTGGCGTCTCCAAAGAAGAGAGGGAAGAGGAGGGGGAGATCCTCGGACAGGAAGAGGGAAATGGGTGGTGGGGGAGAGGGATGGGCAAGCATGTCATGGGGGAGAAGGGCGCTGTGGGGGAAGAATCTCCTGTGTCCTCGCTGCCCCCCCAACACACATGGGACCAATACATTTTGATTTGATTTGATTTGTTCCCAACCTGTTTTGAGATTGGGGTTTTGGAGGTGGATGGTGGTGAGCCCAGAATGCAGGGAACCCAGGAGCCAAACCATTCCTGCATCCTGGGTTGGAGAGATGGAGGGGAGTGGGGGGGCATCTGGGGTGGAGTCGCAGTCCCTACAGGAGGAGATGGAGCAGGGGAGCATCAGGTGAGCCTCCTGTTTTGTTTAGTTTTTTGGGGTTTAGTAGGTTGTAATTTGTGAAATGTATTATGGCAGGGATTATTTTTGTTACTTTAAATGTGAGGGGAATAAGGGAGGATGTTAAAAGAAGGGCGGTTTTGGGGTATTTAGAGGGGGTGGGTTTTGATGTTTGTTTTATACAGGAGGTTCACATAAGGGATAGTGGGGATGTAATAAGGTTTAAGAGGGAGTGGGACAAGGGAGAGTCGGTTTGGGGTATGGGGGGGTGCACTCATCGGGGGTAGGGATTTTGTTTGGGAATAGGGAGGTGAAGGTGGAGGGCACTTTGGTAGGTATGCAGGGGAGGGTTTTGGGGGTGGATGTCACAGTAAGGGATGATAGATATAGGGTAATTGTGGTGTACGGGCCACAGTTAGCGGCAGGCAGGAGGGAGATGGTGGACTGCCTGGCGCCGCTGTGTGCCACGAATAGACACTTGGTGATAGGGGGGGATTTTAATATAGATATAGGGAGGGGGAGGGACAGTAGTGCAGGTGCCATCGCCGGGCTAATGGCGTGCCATGGTCTGGTAGATGGGGGCCTGCACACTGCTCCGACGATGGCAGGTCCAACATGGCGCAACTCCAGAGGGGTCGAGCAGAAGCTCGACTATATTTTTCTATCCAGGTCACTGGGTCAGTTGTCTGGGCGTTTGTTACCTGTGTTTTTTTTCAGATCACGACGGGGTGCTTCTGCAGGTGGGGGAAACTTGGTCCGGTAGTCCTTGAAGTCCGGTAGTCCTTGAAGTCTTGAAGGCCATATTCGAGGCGGGGATCCCGGGGGGATCGATGGCCGTAGGTGTGCTGTCACTTCTTTACAAGAAGGGACGCAACAGACCTTGGCAACTGGCGGCCGTTGACCATGCTGTGCGTAGATTATAAGCTGCTTGCAAAGGTTCTAGCGGACCGGTTGCGCACAGCTCTTCCCTACGTCGTCCATGAGGATCAGACGTGTGGGATAGAGGGCTGCTCTATTAGGTGAAACCTGAGTTTGATTAAGGACTCCATCGCTTGGGTAGAGGATAGAGGGCTGCCGTTAATGGTAGCAGCACTTGATCAGGCTAAAGCCTTATATTTTATTTTCAGGGTGTTAGGCAGGTTAGGTTTTGGGGAGAAGTACACTGCTCAAAAAAATAAAGGGAACACTTAAACAACACAATGTAACTCCAAGTCAATCACACTTCTGTGAAATCAAACTGTCCACTTAGGAAGCAACACTGATTGACAATACATTTCACATGCTGTTGTGCAAATGGAATAGACAACAGGTGGAAATTACAGGCAATTAGCAAGACACCCCCAATAAAGAAATGGTTCTGCAGGTGGTGACCACAGACCACTTCTCAGTTCCTATGCTTCCTGGCTGATGTTTTGGTCACTTTTGAATGCTGGCGGTGCTTTTACTCTAGTGGTAGCATGAGACGGAGTCTACAACCCACACAAGTGGCTAAGGTAGTGCAGCACATCCAGGATGGCACATCAATGCGAGCTGTGGCAAGAAGGTTTGCTGTGTCTGTCAGCGTAGTGTCCAGAGCATGGAGGCGCTACCAGGAGACAGGCCAGTACATCAGGAGACGTGGAGGAGGCCGTAGGAGGGCAACAACCCAGCAGCAGGACCACTACCTCCGCCTTTGTGCAAGAGGACCAGGCGGAGCACTGCCAGAGCCCTGCAAAATGACCTCCAGCAGGCCACAAATGTGCATGTGTCTGCTCAAACGGTCAGAAACAGACTCCATGAGGGTGGTATGAGGGCCCGACGTCCACAGGTGGGGGTTGTGCTTACAGCCCAATACCGTGCAGGACGTTTGGCATTTGCCAGAGAACACCAAGATTGGCAAATTCGCCACTGGCGCCCTGTGCTCTTCACAGATGAAAGCAGGTTCACACTGAGCACATGTGACAGACGTGACAGAGTCTGGAGACGCCGTGGAGAATGTTCTGCTGCCTGCAACATCCTCCAGCATGACCGGTTTGGCGGTGGGTCAGTCATGGTGTGGGGTGGCATTTCTTTGGGGGGCCTCCATGTGCTCGCCAGAGGTAGCCTGACTGCCATTAGTTACCGAGATGAGATCCTCAGACCCCTTGTGAGACCATATGCTGGTGCGGTTGGCCCTGGGTTCCTCCTAATGCAAGACAATGCTAGACCTCATGTGGCTGGAGTGTGTCAGCAGTTCCTGCAAGAGGAAGGCATTGATGCTATGGACTGGCCCGCCCGTTCCCCAGACCTGAATCCAATTGAGCACATCTGGGACATCATGTCTCGCTCCATCCACCAACGCCACGTTGCACCACAGACTGTCCAGGAGTTGGCGGATGCTTTAGTCCAGGTCTGGGAGGAGATCCCTCAGGAGACCATCCGCCACCTCATCAGGAGCATGCCCAGGCGTTGTAGGGATTTCATACAGGCACGTGGAGGCCACACACACTACTGAGCCTCATTTTGACTTGTTTTAAGGACATTACATCAAAGTTGGATCAGCCTGTAGTGTGGTTTTCCACTTTAATTTTGAGGGTGACTCCAAATCCAGACCTCCATGGGTTGATACATTTGATTTCCATTGATAATTTTTGTGTGATTTTGTTGTCAGCACATTCAACTAAGTAAAGAAAAAAGTATTTAATAAGATTATTTCATTCATTCAGATCTAGGATGTGTTGTTTAAGTGTTCCCTTTATTTTTTTGAGCAGTGTATATAGGGTGGATCCGTGCTTTATATGTCGGAGCAAGGTGCCGGGTTAATGTAAACGGTCACATGGGTGACGTTTTTGACCTCGCGTCGGGGGTCAGGCAGGGGTGCCCGCTCTCGGCACTCCTCTTCGTTCTGTACATGGAGCCTCTGGGGGCTGCCATTAGGGCAGACACAGGGGTGGAGGGCTTGCTTATCCCTGGGAGCGGTGGGCTGCACGTTAAGATGACGCAGTACGCCGACGACATTTCCTTGTTACTATGCAAGGACTCGTGCCTGACTTGGTCCCTTGCCATTATTGGGGAATTCACCCGAGCATCGGGAGCGGTTCTCAATCACGCTAAGTCTTCCGTTAAGTTTTTCGGAAGTTGCCGTGGGAGGACGGATGTGCCTGGGGGGGTTATCTCTCTGTATCGGGGCCCTGAAGATTCTCTGGGTCTTGTTTGAGACCCCCCGCTCAGCCACGCTGAACTGGAACAGGAGCATCGCAGTGGTACAGAGGAAGCTGGGGATGTGGAGGGCTAGGTCATTGTCCTTTATAGGCAAGGTCCTGGTCCTCAAGGTGGATGTGTTGCCGTCTCTTTTGTATATGGCGTTCGTCTACCCATTGCCAGCTAGTCTGAGGAGGCCTCTAGTGAGGCTAGTGTTTCAGTTCATGTGGGGTGGCAGGCTCGAGCGTGTCGCGAGGGTTCGCATGCTCTTTCCCATCGGGGAGGGAGGTAGGGGGGTACCACATTCATCCGGTAATACACCCATCTGGTTACTTCCTGCGGGTGTTCTTCTCTTACCAGGCGAGAAGCGTAATGGTGTGGACTAACACATGTCCTCGGGCAGAACTTTGGCTATGCGGCCAAGTGGCTGCGTGGTCACCCCGAGGTTGAAGTTGCCCGAGTAGGTTTAGATCACAGGCACCTGTACGAGGAGGTGAGACGGGGAGGGTGTCCCGGGCCAGTATTGGATATCCCCGCTGTGGTTTGGGAAGGAGTGCAGGTGTGAGGTCTGGATAACAGGCTCAAGGACCTGAATTGGTTGAGCCTCCATAAGGGCTTGCCCGTACGTTCCATCTTGTACGGGCGTGGCATGACTCGATCCCCCACCTGCCCAAGGCCAACTTGTGGCGGGGAGGAGACATTGCGCCATGTTTTTTGGGGCTATGCTTTTGCCGGGGTGGTATGGGCTAGGGCACAGGTGTTGATAGGCAGGGTGAGGGGGGATTTTGTTGTGACGTGGGCTAGGGTAGAGAGAGGTGTAGGGAAAGCGAGGGGGATGGTTAGGGACAGCTTTCTGCTTTAAACGGGGGTTGTGGGAAGCTAGGCAGAAAATGGAAAGGACAGGGAGAGAAGGGGGTGTGGAGGGGATAGTGAGGAGGGTGGAGCAGAATTTGAGGGGGAGAATGAAGAGAGAGGAGAGGAAGTGGGGGCAGCATGCTGCTAGGGAGAGGTGGAAGGGGGGTTTAGGGTTAGGGTTAGTGTAGAGGGATAGGGATTTAGGATTTGTGTGTGTGTGTTTTTAGCTGGGTATAAAGGGGGAGGGAAGGTGCTCCCCTGGGGTGTAATTTCTGTTATTGTTCGGTTTTGTGGGTGTTTGATATATATTGTGGTGGGTAGTTTTGTGTTGTTATTTTTAGTGTTGTTATTTTTAGTGATGTTGTTATCAGTGCTGAGTTATCATAAGGTCCGGTGAACAGCAATAGGATAGTTCGGAGGTAGTTCGGGGGCTGCTAAAGCACTAGCGAGCAAGAGACCACGGCTAGCGTGTGCTAGCGGGCCGGGGCTAGCAGATGGAATCTTCGTGGTCGACGTCGTAACGGGAAGCCTGTTGTAACCACATCAGTCGATTTCGTCTGCAGACCAGTCGTGTAGGATCGGCGGGGCTCCGTGTCAACACTAGGTGGTCCCGTCCGGTTGACAGAGAGGTAGATAGCCGGGAGATGGGCCTAGCTCAGGATGATTAGCCAAACCACAACGTCCATTTTGTTGCAGCTAGCTGGTAGCGATGAATCCGGAGTTAAAGGTCCAGTGATTCAGTGATTCCGGCAGAAAAACTGATATGTTAGCACTGCGATGCAGTGCCTTAGACCACTGCGCCACTCAGGGCTCTTAATTGTTTGGTTGTGTTTAATTCATTCAGGTGTTTTAGTGTCATATAAAGATTAAGATTAAATCTGTTGTTGGGCTGGAACAACCAATAGTCAACACAGCAGGTTGTCCTATCCCATTGAGGTCTTTGTCCTGTGCTGTAATGTCCATACATTTCCCCTCTTATGAAAAAAGTTCTCAACAAATTATAATTGGGTTATCATATGAAGATATGATATATCATACTTCTTGCGCTGCGCCGAGCAGCACAGAGCTGTTTGAATATATGATAACCACTAGAGATTTTTGAGACAATAATGTCCTCCAGGCTATATGGACATCATATTGTACAATTGGCGTCTCCCCTTTTCATGGTCATGGCTAGAAGAAGTCTAGCTTTTGTCAAATTAACATCATATTTGACATTTCATAGCAGATTAGGAGAATTTAGGCAGCAGGTTAGGATAATTAGGTTACAGTTTGGAAAAGGATTAGGTAAAATGCAAAAACATATTTTTGTCAATTTGACAAAAGCTGGATCCCTTTTAGCCAGGACCCCGTTTTCATAGGCCTAGATTACATGGTTTTATTCAAGACAGGGTCATTTTTATTGATCTGTTGTCAGTGTCAGTAGAGTAGACCTAGGCTACCATCCTATTAAAAAAGATTCAGCTAATTTCTCCAGTCATTTCAAGTGTATTATAAATTGGGTGGTTCGAGCCCTGAATGCTGATTGGCTGACAGCTGTGGTATATCAGACCATATACCACGGGTATGACAAAACATTTATTTTTACTACTCTAATTACGTTGGTAACCAGTTCATAATAGCAATGGAACCGCAGGGGTTTGTGATATATGGCCAATATACCACGGCTAAGGGCTGTGTCCATGCATTAGTCTGCAAATGCAAAAGTTTTTATTTTATGGTGAAAAATAGCTTCCCCAAAACTTTTAACTCACACGACACATGCTAATTGCTAGACTACAAGCTAGCTAGCTAGCTAGCTAATTTGGGCTAATTTAGTGTTGTTGTTAACACCTGGTTAGCTTAGATAAAATAAACTCGAAATCGATCAGACTTGACTGACCAGTGATGAAATGATCGTAGCAGACCCGTTACTGACAGCTGTCTGGGTTCAGGTCTTGATGGGAAAAACAGTTTCTTCGCGTTTCTGACTGTTCTTTTCTGACAAGAGTCTTATCTCATGTGGCACCAAGGGTGTTTCATGATTGCGGGGAATCTGTAAACATATTTTTCCCCCGTTGTCTTTCCTGCCTTGTTAGAGCAGCCAAATACTCTACAGAAAATGACCGTGGTGATGAATCAACTAGTTTTAGGCACTGTTATCATGCAGTTTGAGGTAGCCAATCGGCTGTTGTTGTCAGAACAGAATAATTAATGCGGTGGTCTTCCAACATGGACACCAGGCATCAAACGTCAACTACATTTAAAAAAACATTTTTAGTCATTTAGCAGACGCTCTTATCCAGAGCGACTTACAGTTAGTGAATACATATTTTTTTTATACTGGCCCCCCGTGGGAATCGAACCCACAACCCTGGCGTTGCAAACGCCATGCTCTATCAACTGAGCTACATCCCTGCCGGCCATTCCCTCCCCTACCCTGGACGACGCTGGGCCAATTGTGCGCCGCCCATGAGTCTCCCGGTCGCAGCCGGCGGCGACAGAGCCTGGATTCAAACCAGGATCTCTAGTGGCACAGTTAGCACTGCGATGCAGTGCCTTAGACCACTGCGCCACTCAGGAGTACTACAAGCCCTCTATAGGCTATGCAGAGCCTTGGTCGGGTCCATTCGGGTCCACTCAGGTCTATCAGCTGTAGTTACATAGACCTGAGACCTGATGACAATCAAACAGGACACGACCCGGACCAGAAGGAAAAGTTAGAACTTTGGACCCGGACCCACTCGGGTACCAGGTCAGGTCTGTATTCGGGTGGACATGTGAAGACCTCTAAACTGGAGTAACCAGAGAATTTGCTTGACATTTGTAAGTTTAATAATCCTTGACTTTAGTCATCCCATGACATGCTCTCTTAGTTCACAGCAAGATACATAACAATAAGCAATTAACACAATTCTGATATCCAATTCTTTACATATTCAGATAATTAAATTCACAATTATAAGTAAAATAACTTCATTGACTGTTTACATGAAAACTAATAACTTGGCCTAACATAAAACCAAATTGTTTGAATCCTCAGCATGATTCAGCAAAGTAGACACTTCCTACTGCAGCTTCCTTATAATGTGACCAGTGACGTTATAAGGGGTTTTAATAGCACAGTAGGGGCTCCCCCATACCAGTTTGACATTTACAGAGGGGAATCTTGTTTAGCCCAGACAGATCTACATTAGACCAACACCAGGAACATGCAGTATACAAGATGTATAAAGACAAAAGTTTCAATGATGGCCGTTCACAGTCATGCATTAGCTATATAACTACAGTAGTCTTGTTTAATCTGCTACTCTTTTTTAGAAATATGAAAGCACCTGTACTTTTAAGAAGTGAGTAAACTCTACAACTGCAATATACAGACTCAGGCTGCCTTTTCTTGTGGGGGGGGGGGGGGGGGGGGGGGGACTTTGTCCACTGAGTCTAGCTCACGTTCAGTCCATTGATCACAGTCATTTCTCCCATTATGCGGTTCTCCTCTTCTCTTTTAGTTCCTAAACCTTGTCTACATGGCCACATTTTGTACGATACCCTCGTCATCATATTCATAACTCAGGGATCAGTTCAGTGTCACCGAACTGGGGAAAACCGTGATAAACCACTTTCAGGTGCTGTTTGCCTCGTTGCGTAACACCCACAGAATAGTTCAGACATGACGGTACAACACATTGCTCAATGTTGCTCCAAGTTTCTACGTTGAACACAGGCCTTATTTTAAGTTTCATTTCCTCTCATTATCATCCCTCCATTTTGTTGTCTGTCAGTTGAAGAGAGATTGTTGCATCAGAGGGGGGAGACGCTCCACACATTCGGGCAGAGTCATTTTCATACGCATTCAACGACTGGGTCTCGCCTCTTTCCTGCCTCTCTGTGTCTCTCTGCTTCTTCCAGGGAAAAACACAAAACATTGCTCACACACAAAGTGTTAAACGCTATTGTTCAATTCACAACTCTGTTCAATCACTATTTAAGTACTATTTTATTTGTATGTTTTATTTAAAACTCAAACACAATTGATTAACCATTGAACTTTGCTCTCTGGTTTTCTTACTAGAGCATTAAACACTTGGCCAGAAATCAAGTGGCAGATAATGAGGGCAATGGCTCACCGTTGACCTTTCATGTCGGCAACATCTAGTTAGTAAGAACACCAGCGGGACTCCCACAATAAACATCACAACCAGACTGACAGCCACAACTCCTGCAACCACTACTTTATCAGGACTGCTAGTTCCCATGGACACTGGAAAGGAGAGAGGAAACAGAAAACATATGAATAGTGAATATAAACTATGACACGCTCCAAAAACATGTTTTAGATGAGAAAAGGTGAAGCAAAAAAGTTGTCAGAGGAAGAATTTGAAAAGGCAGACCTCTTGGTGTAACTTGACCTGTGGTGAGAAGGCTTTCCAACAAAAACTCACACTTCCTCCCAACATGCCACAGCAGCGTAACTTTCTTTGTTGACTACCCTTCAACATATCACTGTGGATTCCAGCTCCTTCCTTTTTCAGTCAGAGGAAACACTGTTCTCTACACATTGGTAATGCTAATAGAGATAATACTGTTGTTTCATTCTAGCACAGAGTTCAGGTTTTCCCTGTTGTATTTTTATGCCTGGGCTTTCCCTAGCTTTCCCCCACCCTTACGCACATACACACAAGCACGCATGCACCCACTCCTAGCTTTTCATTCTCATGTATTCCTATGCAGATGTTTTATCAAATCAAATTTTATTGGCCACATGCCCCGAATACAACAGGTATAGACATTACAGTGAAATGCTTACTTACAGCCCTTAACCAACAATGCATTTATTTTTCAATAAAAAAGTAAAATAAAACAACAACAAAAAAGTGTTGAGGAAAAAAAGAGCAGAAGTAAAATAAAATAACAGTAGGGAGGCTATATATACAGGGGGGTACCGGTGCAGAGTCAATGTGTGGGGGCACCGGCTAGTTGAGGTAGTTGAGATAATATGAACATGTGGGTAGAGTTAAAGTGACTATGCATAAATAATTAACAGAGTAGCAGTAGCGTAACAAGATGGGGTGGGGGTGGGGGGGGCAGTGCAAATAGTCCGGGTAGCCATGATTAGCTGTTCAGGAGTCTTATGGCTTAGGGGTAGAAGCTGTTGAGAAGTCTTATGGACCTAGACTTGGCACTCCGGTACCGCTTGCCGTGCTATAGCAGAGAGAACAGTCTATGACTAGGGTGGCTGGAGTCTTTGACAATTTTGAGGGCCTTCCTCTGACACCGCCTGGTATAGAGGTCCTGGATGGCAGGAAGCTTGGCCCCAGTGATGTACTGGGCCGTACGCACTACCCTCTGTAGTGCCTTGCGGTCGGAGGCCGAGCAGTTGCCATACCAGGCGGTGATGCAACCAGTCAGGATGCTCTCGATGGTGCAGCTGTAGAATCTTGCCAAATCTTTTCAGTCACCTGAGGGGGAATAGGCTTTGTTGTGCCCTCTTCACGACTGCCTTGGTGTGTTTGGACCATGATAGTTCGTTGGTGATGTGGACACCAAGGAACTTGAAGCTCTCAACCTGTTCCACTACAGCCCTGTCGATGAGAATGGGGGAGTGCTCAGTCCTCTTTTTTTTCCTGTAGTCCACAATCATCTCCTTTGTCTTGGTCACGTTGAGGGAGAGGTTGTTATCCTGGTACCACACGGCCAGGACTCTGACCTCCTCCCTATAGGCTGTCTCATCGTTGTCGGTGATCAGGCCTACCAGTGTTGTGTCATCAGCAAACTTAATGATGGTGTTGGAATCGTTTTAGGAGTTTTTGTACAAGCTGAGACCCAAATCAAAATTATTCAATGTAATCCAGACCCTGACTACCATGATATACTGCTACTGGTTAGTAGATCTACTGGTATCACTAGTCTCCTGTACTCACCAAGCTTTTGATTGCAGCTGGAGTTGGAGGTGAGATTAGAGGCCAGGGCTGTGTTCTCCACCACACACTGCAGTTTTTCACCCTTATTCAGCTCGATGGTCAGGTTGCTGGTCAGGCTGTAGAGTCCTGTAAAGTTGTCCAGGTGGGTCACATCCCTCCTGGAGGGGTTCACCAGAGGATGTCCATCCAGCTCCCAGTGAATCTGGCCCTCTGGATAGCCCCCGGAGGCTTTACACTGGTACACCCCCGACCCCTCTCCCCCTCCGGAACACGCCGAAGCCTGGTCTGAGACGAGGTCCATATAGACACTGTAGCTCGCTGGAGAGGAGAGAGGAGATAATCAACAACAGCGTGCCTGAAATTGAGTAATTTTTTAAGTAGAAAAGAAAGGGAGGGAAGTAAACAATGAAATAAAACGATGGCGGAAAGACAATGAACAAACAAACCAACCAAATTACTTACCAGCCACATGTAGAATAACGTTTTTGTAGACATAAGCGTTGGCTGTATAGGAGCATTTGTACACCCCGTTGTCTGCCACAGTGATGCCTGAGAGGAGCAGGGAACAGTTGTCCTTGTCTTCATTCAGAAAGAGACGAACCCTGTTTTCATATCCATTCCCTATGGTTGTGTTGTTATGACTTCCATCATGATAGAGCACGGTGGTATGCTCTTCTAGCTGCCAGTGTATGTTCATTTTCTCATTTCGTTTTACGCAGGGGCATTGCAGGAGGACCTTCTGTTCCACAATTGCTTGCACATCTGACTGGGCTAGAAGACAAGAAAAGGCCCAGTTGAGCAGGTTCAATTTCTCAAGGTTAATTTCCATAATGTTTTTGGCAAGTTGCATTTGTCTGTAACAAGATAAGAAAAAAAGTTGGAAAATAACAACAGTAGCTTATAAAAACTCCCATCGGTACCGAAGAATATAGGAAACAAGAAGAGCCAGACTCTAAAGCAGGGACGGGCAACTTTGATGGGGGTGGGGGCCACAAAAAATCTCAACTCATCATAAGGGGCTCACGGGTCTGCATACCCACATCCATATGAACACGTGCAGTCAGAGCCGGCCCTAGCCTTTTGGGGGCCCTAAGCGAAATGTTGTTGGCGGGCACCCTGTGTGACAAAACTGCACATTTTAGTGGCCTTTTATTGTCCGCAGCACAAGGTGCACCTGTGTAATGATAATGCTGTTTAATCAGCTTCTTGCTATGCCACACCTGTCAAGTGGATGGATTATCTTGTGCACAAATTTGTTTACATCCCTGTTAGTGAGAATTTCTCATTTGCCAAGATAAGCCATCCACTTGACAGGTGTGGCATAGCAAGAAGCTGATTAAACAGCATTATCATAACACAGGTGCACCTTGTGCTGGGGACAATAAAAGGCCACTAAAATGTGCAGTTTTGTCACACAACACAATGCCACAGATGTTTTGAGGGAGCGTGCAATTGGCATGCTGACTGCAGGAATGTCCACCAGAGCTGTTTTCAGAGAATTTAACGTTAATTTCTCTACCATAAGCCACCTCCAACGTTGTTTTAGAGAATTTGGCAGTACGTCCAACTGACCTCACAACCGCAGACCACGTGTATGGCGTTGTGTGGGCGAGCGGTTTGCTGATGTCAATGTTGTGAACAGAGTGTCCCATGGTGGCGGTGGGGTTATGGTATGGGCAGGCATAAGCTACGGACAACAAACACAATTGCATTTTATTGATGGCAATTTGAATGCACAGAGATACTGTGACGAGATCGTAAGGCCCATTGTCGTGCCATTAATCTGCCGCCATCACCTCATGTTTCAGCATGATAATGCACGGCCCCCATGTCGTAAGGATCTGTACACAATTCATGGAAGCTGAAAATGTCCCAGTTCTTCCATGGCCTGCATACTCACCAGACATGTCACCCATTGAACATGTTTGGGATGCTCTGGATCGACAGCGTGTTCCAATTCCCGCCAACATCCAGCAACTTCGCACAGCCATTGAAAAGGAGTGGGACAATATTCCACAGGCCACAATCAACAGCCTGATCAACTCTATGCGAAGGAGATGTGTCGTGCTGCATGAGGAAAATGGTTATCACACCAGATACTGACTGGTTTTCTGATCCATGCCCCTATCTTTTTTTAAAGGCATCTGTGACCAACAGATGCATATCTGTATTCCCAGTCATGTGAAATTCATAGATAAGGGCCTAATGAATGTATTTCAATTGACTGATTTCCTTATATGAACTGTAACTCAGTAAAATCTTTGAAATTGTTGCATGTTATGTTTAGATTTTCGTTCAGTATATATTAACACAAAAAAAATAAGGGTATGGTTAGGGTACACTACAGTGTTGTTACCTGGGGTACAGAAAGGTCAAATATAAATTTCACAGGTACACATATGAACTCCCATGGTACAGTTTGGTACCTTGTAGGTATAATGGGTCATTCTTCAACCCAATATTTTGAATATAAGGTACGATCATCACTGCGCTTTGATAGGAGGGGGCAATGTACTGGTGGGGCTCATTAGCAAATATATGTGTATTTGTGGCAACTGTGAGTGGAAGTGTTGTAGCAGTTTACAGTAAGTGTTTGATGGTTATGCCAACGCAAGTAGAGCACCTCCTTTGACACCTCCCCAGTCCACGGCCCATCCCGGACCCCCCCCAGCATCCAGAACCAGCACCGGACCAGCCACCTGAGGAGGAGACGACGGCCTGCAGGCCTCGAGGCGAGTAGAGTACTGCCGAGGCGAGCCTTACTCCCGCAACCCTTGGCCTGCAGCACTCTTCCCCTGCCTTTATTTTATAGTTTTATTTTTCCTCAGGCCACCACCGACCAGACCAGGACCAGCCAATCGCCAACCACCCAGAGTAGATCAGGCTGCATTACCACCAGAACCAGAGGCGCGGAGGAAGGCCCAAAGACACCAACCTATGCCTGGCGCGAGCAGACCACAGGGGAGTGCCTCCATTGACCTATGGGCTTCCAGGTGTCTGCTCGCTCTGAGGTTTGTCCTTCCTCCTCCTGCAGGACCTTAGCAGACCAACGACCAGACCAGAACCAACCGCACAGCCATCATCTGCAGAATCTGTAAAGGGGACCATCCCACCTCGGACTGTACTTCCACACGACCCTGCAACCTGTGCGGGAATGGGGGCCACTTCTTTCAAACCTGCCCAATGCCACCAACCCCACTAGCCCAAATACCACCCCCTCCACCAGACAACAAGAACAAAGAACCAGAACCGGACCCAGACGTTAACACAGGCACCGCCCAACCCACCACCCAAGATGTCCCGGAAACGGCCCCCACCCGTCACCACCCAAGACCTCCCAAAAACAGATCCCACCCCTGTCGGCCCCTCCACCTCTGCCCCACCAACAAACCCTTTCCTAGCCACCTCCACCCCTCCAAACCCTTGGTCAAAGGGGAGCCGGTTTTGAGAGACCATACAACCGGAAGAACCCCTCGCCTCACAACTCCAGTTCTTAGACAACGACAACCGAAACTGGACAAAAATTACCAAATGGGAAAGACCAGACAAACAACAGACCAACAAGAGACCAGACAAGAAGACCACCCCAGAACCCAAACATGACCCGCAAAACCCCCTATCCCCTCCGAGAAACAGTCTCCCACTCCTAGACCCCTCACCATAGCCCCCCCCAATTACCCATCATCATGACACTGACAACACACTCTGAACAGGACTTCCTCAGATGTCTCTTCATGGTTGCCTCCCCACGAGGAAATCCATTCATAGACTGCACAAGGTACACTACCGTTCAAAAGTTTGGGGTCACCTAAAAATGTCCTTGTTTTCGAAAGAAAAGCAATTTTCTTCTCCATTAAAATAACATCAAATTGATCAGAAATACAGTGTAGACATTGTTAATGTTGTAAATGGCTATTGTAGCTGGAAACGGCTGATTTTTAATGGAATATCTACATAGGCGTACAGAGGCCCATTATCAGCAACCATCAGTCCTGTGTTCCAATGGCACGTTGTGTTTGCTAATCCAAGTTAATCATTTTAAAAGGCTAATTGATCATTAGAAAACCTTTTTGCAATTATGTTAGCACAGCTGAAAACTGTTGTGCTGATTAAAGAAGCAATAAAACTGGCCTTCTTGAGATTAGTTGAGTATCTGGAGCATCAGCAATTGTGGGTTCAATTACAGGCTCAAAATGGCCAGAAACAAAGAACTTTCTTCTAAAACTCGTCAGTCTATTCTTGTTCTGAGAAATGAAGGCTATTACATGCGAGAAATTGCCAACATACTGAAGATCTCGTACAACGCTGTGTACTACTCCCTTCACAGAACAGCACAAACTGGCTCTAACGAGAATAGAAAGAGGAGTGGGAGGCCCCGCTGCACAACTGAGCAAGAGGACAAATACATTAGAGTGTCTAGTTTGAGAAACAGACGCCTCACAGGTCCTCAACTGGCAGCTTCATTGAATAGTCCCCACAAAACACCAGTCTCAACGTCAACAGTGAAGAGGCTACTCCGGGATGCTGTAGCTCAATTGGTAGAGCACGGCGCTTGTAACGCCAGGGTAGTGGGTTCGGTCCCCGGGACCACCCATACATTGAAATGTATGCACGCATGATTGTAAGTCGCTTTGGATAAAAGCGTCTGCTAAATGGCATATTATTATATTATTATGCTGACCTTCTTGGCAGAGTTGCAAAGAAAAAGCCATATCTCAGACTGCCCATCTTAATCTTTTCTTTTTATTGGCCAGTCTGAGATATGGCTTTTTCTTTGCAACTCTGCCTAGAAGGTCAGCATCCCGGAGTCGCCTCTTCACTGTTGACATTGAGACTGGTGTTTTGCGGGTACTATTTAATGAAGCTGCCAGATATATTTTATATTTGAGATTCTGCAAAGTAGCCACCCTTTGCCTTGATAACAGCTTTGCACACTCTTGGCATTCTCTCAACCAGCTTCATTAGGTAGTCACCTGGAATGCATTTCAATTAACAGGTGTGCCTTCTTAAAAGTCAATTTGTGGAATTTATTTCCTTCTTAATGTGTTTGAGCCAATCTGTTATGTTGTGACAAGGTAGGGGTGGTATACAGAAGATAGCCCTATTTGGTAAAAGACCAAGTCCATATTATGGCAAGAACAGCTCAAATAAGCAAAGAGAAACAACAGTCCATCATTACTTCAAGACATGAAGGTCAGTCAATACGGAACATTAAGAACTTTGAACGGTCGCAGTCGCAAAACCATCAAGCGCTATGATGAAACTGGCTCTCATGAGGACCGCCACAGGAATGGAAGACCCAGAGTCACCTCTGCTGCAAAGGATAAGTCCATTAGAGTTACCAGCCTCAGAAATTGCAGCCCAAATAAATGCTTCACAGACACATCTCAACATCAACTGAGGAGACTGTGTGAAATCAGGCCTTCATGGTCGAATTGCTGCAAAGAAACCACTACTAAAGGACACCAATAAGACGAAGAGACTTGCTTGGGCCAACAAACACGAGCAATGGACATTAGACCGGTGGAAATCTGTCCTTTGGTCTGGAGTGGGACTATAATTTGTTTTTCAAGAGGACAATGACCCAACAAACCTCCAGGCTGTGTAAGGGCTAGTTTACCAAGAAGGAGAGTGATGGAGTGCTGCATCAGATGACCTGGCCTCTACAATCCCCCGACCTCAACCAAATTGAGATGGTTTGGGATGAGTCGGACCGCAGAGTGAAGGAAAAGCAGCCAACAAGTGCTCAGCATATGTGGGAACTCCTTCAAGGCTGTTGGAAAAGCATTCCAGGTGAAGCTGGTTGAGAGAATGCCAAGAGTGTGCAAAGCTGTTATCAAGGCAAAGGGT